AGAATTGGGGGAGCCAAGTTGGAGTTTTTGACTGCATTGGCTGCAGCTGCAATTGGAGGATTCAGCAAATCCCGATGTGCAAATGGACAAAAGTGAGAAAGGGTGAAAAAGCCGTGAGCCATTGTCCATTGTGGATGCAGCCCCTGGCTGGGCTGGGACTGCCCTGAATGGCCCTGAAGGCCCTGCAAGAACAGAACTGCTTTGGATTCTCTCAATTCTGTCTCTGTTTCAGGTAAACACTTTAAGGCCCCCCTGGGGACACAGCTCTGCTCCTCCTTGAGGGTCAAAGGTCTCCAGATCTGCAGCCACAGAATGAAGGAGATCCTGGTGGGTAAAGCTGGGTTTTTTCTGTTCTCTCCTGGCTGCAACAGGGTTAAGGCAAAGCTGCTGCTCCTGCTGTGAGAACACTCAGAAACCTTTTCCCATCAGGCAGGGAAAGAGCAGAGTGGAGCGAAGTGGGGAGGAGAGGAGGGCAGAGCTGTGCCAGGATGGGCTGAACCTGGGGCTGAGCATTTTCTGCAGCTCTGGAGAGGAGTCAGAACTGATCCTTGCCCAAAGTCCCTCTCCACCTCTCCTGGAGCCCCTTCAGCACTGGAAAGTGCTCCAAGATCTCTGTGGAGCCATCTCCTCTCCAGGCTGAGCACGGATATCAGCCTCTCAATGACCACACTGGCAGCACACAGCACCCGCTCTGGGAAAAGCCTCAGCTCACCCCAACTCCAAACTCTGCACTGGAACAGCTCCTGGTGCCTCAGGGGACATCGACAGCACTCCCAGAAATTCGGCCACTCTGTCACCGCTCAGCACAAGCAGTCAATTAATGAGTGCAATAATTACTAAATATACACATACACTTCAAGCAGAACAGAGATGACCTTGGGGCCCAGAGAAGCTGATTTGCAATCRCTCCTCTGCCCCTCCAGCTCCCACTGGGAGAAGCTGACACAGGAAACTTCAATTAACACACAGGAGTGTGCCCTGGGGACAGCTCTAAGTGCTGATCCCTCCAGAGGCCTCGGGAACGTCAGCACCGCAGATCTGCTCTCAGAAAGGAGATTTGGGGTTGTTTTTTTTCCCATATAGACATCATTTTGATGAGCTGCTCCTGCAAGGTCTCCTGTCCCCACTGAGTCGAGGAGCTGCTGAGCAAAGCTGGTGGCTGGAAGAGCTGAAACGGGCAGTAAAGGGTAAAATTGTTGGGAATAGGGCACTGGCTGGATGCCAGCCCTGACCTGGCAGTGCTGCTGTCCCTCCCTGCCAGAGAACCCAGCTCAAAGCCCAGCTCAGCACCTCCATGGCACACAGCACCCTGGCTGTGAGCTCCTCACCTGCTCCCAAGGTCAGCACTGCCTGGAGAGCTGGGACTGGAACCCATGGGACACCCGCAGAGCCACCTCAGCAGCTCCAGCCCCTGCTCTGCACATTCCCCATCCCTGGTGGGATCTCCTCTCTCCCTGCAGGCTCACAGAGCCCAGCTGGGCTGGCAGAGCTGCTCACCACACTCCCCCCTGCCCAGGCTCTCTGGGATGGAGAGTTCTGTGTCCTCTGCTCACAGGGAACACTCTCCCACAGGCACTGTGACCCTGCCAGGCTCAGGATGGGCTGAACTCCATGGAAATCCAGGAGCTGGGGGTGGCAGGGACCCTCCTCACC